CATAGGGCTGATGAGTGAAAATTATGGAACTATTAGTTTCATGGGTTGTTAATGTTCATAAAGTTATGACCAGTAAAGATTAGGTCACTCACCACAGGGCGGGGACAGACAAAGTAGGAACGCTCTGGGATTTTGGTGGACCTGGAAATCTTAACAATACACAGGCCATGTCCACAGGCACACATTCGTCGTGGCCATGTACTGGAAGTTGCAGTAGAGGTGAACGACGCCATGCTACGCTTTAATATAAATTAAATTTACATGAATCAACATGAACAGATACGAAGAGTAACGCAAATTTATATTTGAATATGTTTTTAACATCGTTTTAATATATTTGTAATATTTTTTTTAATATACCCAATTTTGTCATATATTTGTAATAACTTTTTAATATATTTACCTTCCTTTCCAAATTTAGTTTGTAATCTATTTTTGACACTCTTTACTATTTAAATAAAAAATTCTAATATTTATTTTAATATATTATTAATATCTTTCTAATATAGTTTTAATATATTTGTTAATAAACTTTTTTTTTAATATATTTGTAATATAAATTTCATGTATTTTGTAATTTGTTGTTAATATATGTAGATAATATATGTACCTTCCTTCCCAAATTTAGTTCCAAATATATTTTTTATCTAATTAATATATTTTTTAGAAATGAGAATTGAGCATTTCATCTTGAGTAAAAAATATACGCAAATTAATACATCTAATTTGTAATATATTTTCAATATTTTTTTTTTTTTGATATTTTCAAAACATTTTTCAATATATTTATGATATAGTTTTTCATAATTAAATTTTGTCATATATGTCTAATAAAATTTTTACAGTATTTACTTTTTAAATCTAAATTTGTAATATACATTTCACATATATTTTTTTTCATATCTTGGTAATATATTTTTAATATATTGCTTAATTGTTGACAATTTTTGTTATTTTTTTTTTGGTACTATAAGTTTTATATATTTTGTAATTTGTTTTTAATATATCTAACTTCCTTCCCAAATTGAGTTGGAATTATATCTAATTTGTTATATACATTTCATATATATTTTGTAATTTGTTGTTAATATATCTAACTTCCTTCCCAAATTGAGTTGGAATTATATCTAATTTGTTATATACATTTCATATATATTTTGTAATTTGTTGTTAATATATCTAACTTCCTTCCCAAATTGAGTTGGAATTATATCTAATTTGTTATATACATTTCATATATATTTTGTAAGCGTAATCAACCCAATCACGACCGTAAAGCAACAGATCGGCCATGAACCGATGCTGTTATGAACCTAAACTATGCAAATGGGAAAAAGAAGAAGAGAAATCAGATAGGCCATAGAGCATTACCTGCAGATCGGTTTGAGTTTGAGAGGCTTCGTTGCTGTTCGCCACCGCGGATGCGTACTCTGGTGGCGATTTCCTCTGCCAAGGTCGCTCAGATGCCGTCAGATAGCTCCGTTCTTCTTCTCTTCTGCTTTGCGAAGGGTGTGTTGGGTTCAATCTGAGGCTTGTCCTGCAGATGGAAGAGAGTTTAACCTATCAGGGCATTTGGGTAAATTTACATGACCAAGCCTCTCCCATACCCGTGAAATGCATTTTTGTCGGGACGTGACTGAAATAGCCAACTTTGTCGCGACGTGACTAATTTAGCCCGACTTTTCCTTCCCAAACAACACCAAAATAATTTCCAAATGAAATTTTCGCTGAACGCTTGATGAATCCAGCGCACTAACTATAAGATTAATTTGGATTAAAAATATTATATTCTAATATTAAAGGCCTTTTGTAAAAATTTCCTTTGTCAATGTCCTTATGCCGTTGAAAACTTATGCGGACGGATTTTCCACCGAATCTCCCTAAAATAAATAGATAAATCTTCCTAATAAAAGATCCAATAATTATATGAACTTAAAAATAATAAAATAATAATAAGGGATTGTTTGGTCTTGAGTTAGGCTAAATAATCATAAAATGACAAAAAAAAAGTCAAAAAAATACAAAAAGTCAAAAATCACAAAAAGACAAAAAAAAATCTATCATTTCAAAGTTAAAATATCAAAAAAGCCAATCAAAAATATCAAACGAATAAAAAAATCCTAAACTAAACAAGTCAAAACAATTAAAAAGCCAACTTAAAAAAATATTGGCAAACGAAGGCTAAATGACAATACACTAAGAAATAGTACACGATCATAATAAACCCATAAGATCCGAATTATGGAACGTATCATAAAATTACTTGATATTAGTTACTTAAATTGATTTTTTAATTTATTTTATAAAAAAACGTATAAAAAATAAAAAAAATAAAAGTTTAACCTTTTTTTTTTTTTTTTGTATTCACTTTTTGAATAAAATAAATTATTGCCAAAATAGCTCTAAATATTATAAGATTAGGTACTATATGAACAGGCCTGATAAAAGCCTTGTAACCATCGTGATTTATGTGATAATTTTTAGAAGAAATTACCAATCAATGACAATTTCAAAAACTTATTACAGATTCATAAAAAAAATTATAATTATAATTATTATATTGATAAAATTTGCAACTGATTTATAATTATGTGTCAAACCTATGCCTTCAACTGGATTTTTTTCCTAATTTTTAGTGATAAATTTTACACTATGTTTGGATTGTAAGGTGAGAAAAGAAAAAAAAAATATATATATATATATATAGTTTTCCACCTATGTGAGAAGAGAGGAAATAATTATGATTTTTCATTATTGTGTTTGAACGAATAAAAGAGAATTGAATATGATTTTTCACTCATCTTATTTAGATAGAGTAAATAAGAGAAAAAATAAATAAATGTTTTATTTTATTTTATGAAAATAACATTTCATATTGATAAATTATTTTTTCAACTTCTTCCACTATAGGGTAATTTTGATATTTTTAAAAATTTCATTAAATTCATTTTTTTTTCACAAAATTTCACTATTTTTGGTGAGAAATAAAACACAACTTTGATGAAAGTTTTTTTCCTCATAATTTTTTACATATTTAACCATTCAAACAAATAAAAAAAATTTCTATTTCCCCAATTTCTTTTTTTTTTTTTCTAACCGAATCCTTCCATCCAAACGAGTGTTAGTGGAACTACTGAAATGGAGCATGTGCGTCAGCCTTCATTTGTAGGACCTTGGATGCTTTTGTGCCTTGAAAGCATTGCAATATACTGTGACTTATAATGAGACTTTGGACTCGTTTAGGGAGAGATTAATTTAGTAATTTTTTGATTATTTAGTTAAAAAAGTAGATAAAAAAAACTTGTATATTGAGGATGACTTTTTGGTTAATTACGAAAAGATGTGCAAAAAGTAGAGAGAAAAGAGAATTTTTGATTTTTTTGTATGAGTTGTTGACTTTTTGGCTAATTTAATAACTTTTTAGCTAATTGATTAAAAAAGTAAGTCTCCAAACGGGGCCTTTATATTTATTAATAATCTCAACCGTTCATATTATAAGATATATCGAAAATATTATTTATGTAAAAAAATTAAATTAATCGAATATTCGTAACTCCATAACTAGGTTTTAATTATTTATAAAAAAAATCAAAATTTTATTAACCATTTAAAAATAAATAAACTCTTGTTTTAAGATTATAGATATTTGATTAATTTAATTTTTTTTATATAAATAACTTACTTAATAAATAATATAATATCAATGATTTAAATTATCAAAAGAGAAGAGTTTCTACAAAATACCACAATTTGCTATATGAGAAAGCCCTGTTTGGCTGAGCCTTTTTTAAGTTAAAAGTTGATGATTAAAAAGTAGAAGTTAAAAGCTCTGTTTAGAAGAGCTTTAGAATTGTGATTTCAGCTCTTAGTTTGCATATGGTGTTTGGTTGTGGTTTTCAAAAATTAATTCCACACTCACTTTTGAAAACTCGGTCGAAGGAGGAAAAATTTGGGTTAATCGGTCATCCCACCAGACGTCTTACTAAACGTCCCACCGGTTGTCTGGCTGGTTGAACAGAACGGTGCAATTTTTTATTTTTATTTTTGCATTCGACACATATTAATTTTTATATATTCAATAAAAAATATTTTTCAAAATTTTTAAAAAAATTTATGAGTTTCAATAAAATTTTGAGTTGTGTATTTGGTTATGAATTGTAAGTTTTTGTATCAAATATTATATGTCACATTAAAAATTTTCCACTCAATTCAAAATTCTTTTAAAAACTCATTCATCAAACAAAATTTTCACACTCAAATCATAATTCCAAAACTTACTAACTCAAAATACAATTCTATTATCAAATTATATTTAAAAAATTCTACCAAATGCAACCAAAAATATTACAGTTAACGGTTGAAAAAAAAACTAATTCGATCAGATAGTTATCGATATTCAATCAATGTGATTTTTTACAAGCATATAGTACTCGACGAGTTCTACACATTGATCGGTTTTGATTAGCAAAACGAGACTCGTGGTAGGCCCCCAAGGACTGAACAACACCTCCAATTCAATACACGAAAAGCAGGGAATCATATCCCAAGTACACTCATTGTCCGCCTATTTCCTCACCGTACCGTCTATTTCCTCACAATCTTTTCTTATACGCTGATTTATACAATTTTTTAATACACATTTTTTTCATATAAAGTCAAAAAGTTATCTCAAACAACTATATTTTTTTTCTCAACTTTTTAATTTAAAAAGTTAAAAAATATACTTATTTAAAATACCCAAAACAATCATTTATTATTATTTCTACCTCATAAATTATAAATAGAAACTATGCTTAACAATCTAACACAAAAACTCTCAAATCAAAATACACTATAACCACCCTAAATACTGTAACAAACAGTCCAAGATACCGCAGGATCCCAATTCCTCATTTCAAACATGGCTGCCAACTCCCTCCACTTTACCGCAGGATCCCAATTCCTCATTTCAAACATGGCTGCCAACTCCCTCCACTTTCTCGAAGTGTGTACGGGGACCATCTTCCTCTCTCACTCACTGATGTGTATAGTGACAACCCCGGTAGCCCTAGTGTATCCCATCATATTATATACTTTATATAACCTAGCACCTTTAAAAAATTAGCCTTTATATTCCTGATCATCCAGCATCCATTTCTTAAAAAACATACAATCCACCTTTGAGCCTTGTTTAAAGTACATTTTATAATATCTGTAGAAATTTTTCTGAATACCCTTGTCAGTAGCAGAGCTTTTCTTCTTCAAAACCATAACCAGTAGTAGAGCACTGTGGGGCTCTAATCTAATCTAAAGCCCACCGACGACTCATTTTCCGGTAATTATAAACCCATTCACTTACCCTCTGTTTTTTGCTCATAAATCTCTCTCTGTCTCTCTCTCTCCATGTCTGTGGAGAGAAACTGATTTCTTTTATTTTAAAGAATCAGCAAACAACTCAGTTCTGATCTGGGTCAATTTTATTCAAGCTGAAAAATAGCTACTTTCATATATATTAATGACATCTTTAGTAGGTAGGTAGAAAGTATACAAATATAGTACAAAGCAATTGCTTTTGGAATCAATGCTCTACTGAAATTAGACCCTTTTCCCATTACTACCAATCCCAGAAAGTCGCTACACTTTCTCCCAAAAATTTATCAAATGCATCTTCCTTTTCTTGCTATCATTTATATATATATATATATATGTGTGTGTACAGAGTTTCTTCCTTTCTTTTCCTTTCTTTACTTTTCTTTTCTTTTCTTCTTTCTTTAATTATTTTCTATAAATCCCAATGGTAAAAGAAGATATTTCTGTAACACTGATATACATGAGGAACGCTAGGTACCAGATTATTGTCTGTATTTATTTTTATATTTTTCTCTTCTTTTTGGCGATCAAAAAAAAGGCTTTCCAATTCAAAAATGAAAAGATAAAAGTAATAATAATAAATAATGCACAGCTTGCTTATATACTATTATGTGAATGGGATTGGATCTCTTGACTTGATTTGAAAACCCAGATATGAAGACATTCTTTGGTGTTGAATATCATATGGCAGGTGGGTTTTAGATGGATACGAGTGTGAATGGGAATCAAAAAGCTTCAAAATATGGGGAAATAAGCATGACAGAGAACAAGAAAACTAGTCCAGGTCCCGCTCATGCCGGACCTGAAGTGGTCATAGTAATGTCCGGTGAAGACTCAAAACCTAGGAACAGTGTGGACTCTGCTCACCAAGTATCGGCCGATTCGAATATGGGACTACCCCCCATGAGCTGTCGGTCACCGGAGATTGGTCGTTTCTATCCAAGTCCAAACAAGCCTCCGAGAATTCCCAACACCAACACTGAAGCCCTTACTCGACGAAAATCGCTGGCAAGGTCAGTGCTCTCCAAACCCAAGTCGCGATTTGGGGAACAATCTGTACCTATTGATTCAAATTTGATTGAAGAAATAGGCTTAGCAATGCAAGAAAAAACTGAACATAGCTCATTTTCGCCTAATCAGATATTGTCTAACCGGGCATCACCCATTAACAAAATGACACCAACTAGTAGTACTCTCAAGGAAACTATGAGGGCAGTATCAATAACCCCAAGAACACCTTTGATGGCTTCACCGGGAGGTGTGGGAGAAGAGGATGAGGATGAAAAGATTTATAAGAAAGTGAGTAGTCAACGTAAATTGAGGTACAAGAGGGTGAAAACGAAGGTTCTGATTGAATGGGTTGCTTTCTTTTGCATTTTGGGGAATTTGGTGGCTAGCTTGACTGTCCACAAGTTGCAACATTATATGTTTTGGGGTTTGGAGGTTTGGAAATGGTGTGTGCTTGTATTGGTAACCTTTTCAGGCATATCGGTTACCAAGTGGTATATGCATTTTCTTGTTTTCTTGATTGAACGCAACTTTTTGTTCAAAAGGAAAGTGTTGTATTTTGTGCACGGTTTGAAGAAGAGTGTACAGGTCTGTGTCTGGCTAAGTTTGGTTCTTCTTACTTGGGTTTTGTTGTTCAAAAGTGGGGTGGAACGATTAGCCAGGACCACTAGGATTTTGGACTATGTTACTTGGACTATTGTTTCTCTGCTCATTGGGGCGTTATTGTGGCTTTTAAAGACATTACTTCTAAAGATTTTGGCATCATCTTTCCACGTCAACACATTCTTTGATAGGATTCAAGAATCAATCTTTCATCAATACATTCTCCAGACCCTTTCAGGGCCTCCAATTATGGAGTCGGCAGAGATGATTGCGAGAGTAAACAGCACTAGTCAGCTAAGTTTCCAAGTAAAAAAGAAGGGAAAGGAAGGGAAAGCGAAAGAAGTGATTGATGTAAATAAGCTTTATAAAATGAAGCAAGAAAAAGTTTCTGCGTGGACCATGAAGGTGTTGGTTGATGTGATATCAAACACGGGACTATCCACCATCTCCAATGCACTTGATGAAAGTTTTTATGACGGAGGTGGTGAACAGACGGATAAGGAGATTACCAATGAGATGGAAGCAATTGCTGCTGCCTATCACATTTTCAAAAATGTTGCTCATTCTGATTGCATGTGAGAAAAATCTACTTTCTGTAGTCCTTTTATTTTTTTTAGTATTTATTTTAATTTTTTTTCTCCCAAATTTTATTATTATTATTATTCGTAGGTATATCTACGAAGATGACCTAAGGAGATTCATGATTAAGGAAGAGGTGGATATTGTGTTTCCACTGTTTGAAGGGTCGGAGACTGGAATAATTGACAGAAAAGCTTTGACAGACTGGGTGGTAAGAACCCCTTTTTTGGAGTTGATTATTTATTTGTCTGTATCCCTTTGTTTGCAACTATTTATCTAGAGACTGGAATCATGATTTCACAATTCCAAATTTGCTATCATTCCCGTACTGTATTTTCTGCAAGCGTTTGTATTGTAGTTTAAATAGGTATGACAATCAAGTTGTTGACATTAATTCATCGAACTGGGACTGTTATACTTCAAAATGAACTTGGTTTTCAGAGAGTTGATGAGTATAAGGCATATTAAGAAATCCCTGATGTATGCATGATTACATTGAAAAGTAGAAGAGTGTTACTATTGCCACCAGCAGGGTACCTTGAGTGGTATCTCTAGTCACCTTAAAAAGGGGAAGTGAAGTTTTCAAGTCTCAATTGGAGCGTGGATGTGTGTCCATTAACCAAGAAAAGAAAAGAAAGAAAAAATAGAAGTAACAAAGGAAAAATAAAAATTCTTTGATTGGTGTGGGAATGGTGAAGATTTGTGTTCTTGTTACTTGTGTAGGTGAAAGTTTATAAAGGTCGGAAAGCTCTTGCACATGCTTTAGCTGATACCAAAACAGCTGTGAAGCAATTAAACAAACTTGTAACGGGGATCCTTGCTGTGGTAATCATTATTGTGTGGCTTCTTTTGATGGAAATTGCAACAACAAAAATACTTGTCTTCCTCTCGTCACAGCTTCTAGTGGCAGCTTTTATGTTTGGAAACACTTGCAAAAACATATTTGAAGCTCTCATATTTGTATTTGTGATGCATCCATTTGACGTTGGTGATCGCTGTGTCATAGATGGTGTTCAGGTAACTTGCTCATTATATTTACTTACACTGGATTTGCTCAATAACTCACTCATGGTCTTTGCTTATATTGGAGTTAACCAACTCTGTGTGAAACATTGTTATGTTACAGATGATAGTTGAAGAGATGAATATTTTAACAACAGTTTTCCTAAGATACGATAATGAAAAGATATACTATCCAAATTCAGTTTTAGCTACCAAGCCCATCAGCAATTTCTATAGAAGCCCGGATATGGGTGATTCTTTCGAGTTTTCTATTGATTTCAGAACACCGGTGGAGAAGATTGGAGCTCTGAAAGATAAAATAAAGAGGTTAGTTGACTCTGCCATTATTCTTCTTCTTTTGACTTGATGGTATAAATAAAAGGTACTTATTTTTATATTAGTAATTCAAGCTAAAAGGCACTTTTAATGTCTCTTCAGATTTCAGATGCTGGGGCTTGGTCTGTATATCCATTTTTGAGTCCTGAATTCTTCTTTTTATCATTTCCTAGAGTTGCACCATTTAAAATGATGTAAATTTGGTGGGATGTGACGTCATTACTCATTAGATATCATTAGTGATATATCTCCAAATCCGTTTGTTTTCAGAGGTAGGTTGGGTGGGACAGTTAGTGAGGGGTTGCTAAGGAGGGGATTAAGAAAAATTGTGTTTGTTTGATAACCAGTGGAGTAGCAATAGTTCCTGTTTGTTTTAAGGGGAGCATCTATTTGCACACACCACTCTCTCTCTATACACATCCTTCACACACAACTTTTCAACACACTCTCTCATTAAGTGTGTGGGAAGAGGGGATATGGTGTGTGCATATAGAAGCTCCCTGTTTTAAGAGATAGGAGTGGGATTAACCATTGTAAAATTTCACAAATACCCTTGTTGCATTACCATCAAATTCGGGCTTATACCAACTAATAAATGCATTATATATTTTAATATTTAAAATATATTTTATAATTGTATTAAAATTATATTTTAATATTAAAAATTGTATTTCATAAATATATATATATATATATATTGGTACTATTTTTTTTAAGTATAAATATTATTATACTATCATATTTTTATATTAAAATTTATTTTTATATTAAATTATTTTGATATAAAGAATGGTGGAGTAAAAAATAGTGGAATAATTATAAAAAAAAAAATAATAGAGAAAGGACCATACTAATCAAGTAGAGTAAGTAAATTAGATAGGATAATAGAGGGCAAAATAGTAAATCCCCCTCTAATCCCAAGAGATTGTGTTTTTAACACCATCTCCCATGGGGGACTACTAATCCCATTCATGGAGGTCTATTATAGTCCCAAGGTATTGTGAATCATCTTCCTCATTTTGCAAACAAACACAATATTAGTAGACCACCCTACATCCATCCTAATCCAATCTCATCCCCTATAACCTAAAACAAACGGAGAGGTATCATAAGCTAGAGGAGATGTTACTTGATTGAGATAGTTGACATCACCCATTGTGCAAGAGCAATTTGGTGACACCACCTGCAGACTCAAATAATACTAGATCCTTGCTAGTCCTTTTTCTTTTCTTTTCTTTTTTAACTTTGTTTGGCAGCGCTAGTTTAAGACTTAGAATCTACGAATTAATTAATATGATATTGCATCAGATATTTGAAATGAAGGGATTTATGGTTCAAATTCAAATATTTATCGAGGTTCACTATTGTGTTGGATTCATAGACCCAAAGGGAGCATAAATTAGTGAGTTTTTTTGATAGACTTCAATAACTTCCTTCACCTAGTTATTGAAGAGAATTTATAATAAGGCAAATACATGCTTGATGAAGAGAGAATTTCTAGGGTAAAAATATCCCACGTGTTGGTGTGAATTTCTTTGAGTTATATTTCCATTTGTGTTACCATAATCTTCTAATGCATCATTGCTTCTAATTGTACGACTTTCTATTAAAGCACACTGGGTTTTAACATTTCATTGAAAAAAAAAAAAAAAAACACTCATAATTGTCAATATCAAACAAACTTCATGCTGTGAAAGAGTGAAGAAAGACAGAAAACCCACCAAATGTTTCACACAAAACAACAAAGACTAGACTGCTTCTCTAACTAAACCTAACCTTGACATATACGGGGAAATGATATCCATGATGGCTGGAGTTTGAGTTGAAATTTTTATTCACTGCGATACAATCATACAATTGTTCTTTAAAATCATCAGTACTCAACTGTTATTCTTTTTCTCATATTATCCCTGCATGTTCAGGTATTTGGAGAAAAATTCCCAACACTGGCATCCTAACCACAGTGTGGTGGTGAAGGAAATTGAGAATGTCAACAAGATAAAGATGGCTCTCTTCTTTTGTCATACAATGAATTTTCAAAACTATGGAGAGAAGAGCAGGAGGAAATCTGAACTGGTCTTGGAGATGAAATTATATTTTGAAGAACTTGGTATAAAATATAATCTCCTGCCCCAAGAAGTTCATCTTGTTGAGTCATCAATGACAACTAGGACAGCCTGATCACTATTGTTCCTGGCTTGAGACTTCACAAGTCTTGTTTTCAAGTATGTGCTCTTCTTTCCCCACTTATCCATGGCATAAACTTAGCTGACTGACACAGAATTCTAAATACCTTCTTTGGCATGATCATGACTAGAGAAAGAGATCCACTAAATTGAAATTTGGGAACCTTACATCACCATAAATAGGAATTGCCACCTCATAATTATTCTTTAACAAACCTGTTGTTAATTAGTCTTGGTTGCTTGCTGACATTGGAGCCTAAGGCTGTGTTTGTAACTACGATTTGGGTAAGGATTTGTGGAGGGAAAAGAAAAGGCGAGGGAAATGAAGAAAAAATTTAGCATATATTTCATTCACATTTTCCTTTCCCTCCACAAAACCCTACCCAAATCCTAGATCTAAACACAGCCTTAAAGTTCATATTGTTACAGATTCCAGACATTACGAATGAATTCTGCATTTCTAGTAGTCTCCTGTAAACAACTAAATTAATTTCTCTTGATGGAAATTTGCAGATGTGAACAATGTATTTTGTCTTATTTAGTTTTGTGACATTCTTGTACCTTTGTTACAATTTGGTGATTAGGGTTTTTCTATATATTGTTCTATGTTTTTATTATGATTGTCATAGCGAAAGTTAAGGCAGTAAGATACTTTCTTCTTTTTCCTGTGTAGATCTTGTCACAACAGATTCAGATTAATTGCTAACAAATCATTATTGTAGTGAAATTAATGTGAGATATTGATATACTAGTGTGAACAAAAAGATTAGAAAATGAAGGAAAAGAAAAAAGGAAAAAATGATAGCTGCTACTCTGCCACACCCTTATGAGTAGAATGATAGTTGAAGGCTCTAAAACAAATTTTGATTTTTCTTTGTTATGGCAGGCGCAACAAGGACATGAAGGTCTTCTTTTACCTGTGTTTTCGAGGAAGGTGAGCAGATGTATCAAGGAAGATGCTGAAGCTGTCTACTTTTATGTTTTTTGATTGTTACGTTTTGAGTAACTTGGACATAGCAAAAATAACACCCACATTTTTCCTAATAGGTTTTTTTGGGTGAATAAATTTCCTAATAGGTTTGTTCCTCTCTGTACAATGAAATGGAAATTTTCACTTGTCCGTTTATTTTTTTCCCAGCCTATTTTATGTCTCCTAATAGAGTATTCTGCATTCTGTAGTATGTGTTGGCTGGATGCGACGAATGGTGCATGTGTAGTCTCTGTAATTGATATACATTCATGACTTTGTTGTGGGGAGCGAAATTGAAATGCAAGAATTAGAAGGAAAATGGGGAAACCCTGTATGACCATAGGCTAATCGTTTCGCCCTTTTCGAAGTCGGCGTTACTGCACTCCTTTACCAACAGGTTTCTCCATTTTTGAACAGTTCTGCTTTTCTTCATCCTCATGGACTCACTTGAGTTTGTTTTCATATTCTCTCATAACCATGATTAATTTCAGGACTCAGACCCTTTTTTGTTATATTACACAACTAAAATCTTAAATCTGTTTGGCCTTGTTTACTATTTTTACTATGCCCTTATTTTTGTGTAACTTTTCAAACGGTGGACCATCTCTTGTTTTCGGCTTCTTGTAGCCATGGGTCTGATGACTGAACTATTGCATAAAATTAATTCAATATGTTTCTTTATTCCAAAATTTGATCGGTCATTGTTAACAAAAAAACAAAAAATAAAGAACTAAACTCTATCTCAATCATATAGAATAATAATGGACTACTAGATTTGATTGCATTATTAAGTAACAACTCTTAAATTAATTTGATTGAATTGTTGAAGATGATTAATCTATGAATCGAAATTATAAAGGCCTAAATTAGCAAAGCAATTAAAATAAGAGTAAATTATTAATGGGGATTTTTCTTAGGATCTCTTGTATTAAGTTTTTATAGCATAAAAGACATTCAATATTTTCATAATGTCCGAGGTCCTTCACACATCAATCCAAAGAAATTTCAATCGAGAGAAAATTGAAATTTCTCTGGTTTGCACAAATTTCTCTGATTTGCAAATTTCTCTAGTTTGTACAAATTTCTATGATTTTCAAATCTCTTCAAGCTTTTATTTCAGACATTGAAATTGAAATGTTTTCATTGGAGTTCGACAAAATAGAGCTAATTGTGTGGCTGTGTTTCACGGTGGTGGTGGCTGTTGGGTTTTCTGGTAGTGGTGGTGGTGGTTATGCTGAGGGCGTGGACTTGGATTGTTTTGCATCATTCGACAAGCTTGAGACGACCGCGGACGGTGGTTCTCATGGGGAGAGTGTATTGGCAGAGGAGAGTTGAGAATTTTGATCTAAAAAGAGAGGGTTATAGTGAAAGGTTTGGTTGATCGACATTTTGGATTGAAATTGACATCAATGGAACTACTGGGTTGTGAATGGAATGGATGATTGATTAGCTCTCTACGCTAAAAAATCACCATTACAGAGAGAAGAGAGAGAACATGAGTGACGTAGGAGATGGGCTCTCTCGGCAATGGTGCATGAGGAAACTCCACGATTTCTTCTTTGCTCCGATGAACGAAGGCAGCGGTAGAGAATAATCAGACAGCGGCAGAGGATTAGACGACAACGGAGGTGGCGGAGCATGCTCTCAACTTCGATGATGGCCAAGTGCAGAACGGAGTTTGATTTGAGGAAATCAAATTTCTCTGTGATATATGGGTGTCTGGAGTTGAGGGATCTTAGACATTATAAAATAATATTGTGGATCTCTTCTATTATTAAAAATGAGAGAGGGACCTTAAACTAATTTTCACAATTATTAATAGGTCATACTTTTGATATTTATTACCTATTAAGTTCTATTAATAAATTTATCAATCATTGATAAACTGATATGAGGATCTTAGGGATTCAATTCCTCAGCTAGTTACATAATCAGAATTTATGTGTTAAGTTAAGGAAGATCATTATTGATTTGAAACAAATAATGTTTTGCAACAACAAATCCAACAACCTTTTTTTTTTTTTTTAGAAAGATGAAAGCAGTTGTGTTAAGACAAAACAAACTTACAGAGTAAAACAAAAACAATAAGATCCTAAAGAGCCAACCAAACAACCAAACAACAAAAACAAATTTTCCAAAAAATCAACTGCGATCCAGGAAAAATCACTAATCTGATGTGATTTGGAAAGCTAGATTTGCATCAGCCCAAGCAAGATCTGCAACAACCCTCGCCGTCACCGTCGACATTGTCTCTATCACTGCTGTCCAACTCCGCTACTGCAGTCGCCATACTTCAAACACCGTCAGAAGCTAGAGTTGAAGAGGAAAAACACCTACAATGGTATGACAGAAGGCTTAAGAGAAGAGGGAACCATTATGGGTGTCAAAAAACCAAAAATCTATGTCAAAATCGGGGGATAAACACTCAAAACCCCTATTTCGAACATAAGACATAAAAAGTCCGATCTCTATACTCTAGGAGTGTAGATCTACATTTTAGAAGTGTAAAGGAGGTTGCCTAAGTGTTGCTGAAGTGTCATCGGAAATCTCTAGAGCGCTCTCTCTCTCTCTCTCTCTCTATTAGGCCTTCAACAAATTCAAAAAGATTGACAAAAGGATTGGTGTATTCAAATCATTAGCGTAATCATCTTTGGTTGGCACGTATTATTTGCACTACATTAAAGTTGTGACATGACAAAACTTATTTCTTTGGTTAAGGTCAATCAATTGAGAAAATCGACAGACAAAACTTAAAGTTTATCTAATGAAAATATACCAGATTTTGTAGTTGAGTTGTATGCCTTAAACAGATCAAAAAAAATTTTTTGGAGGTAATTAAATAAAGAAAAATATGAGAAACATAACTGAATTTGTATTAATCAAACTAAGATCACTTGCTACAAATTGCATGAACTTCAAACAAGAACAAAAACTTAAAAAATACACTGATCGACAGAAAAGAGGTTGGAAGAAGCTATCACTGATCTACTCCTAGAATTGCTAAGTTGATTACTAACTAGAAGTTACGCCTAATATCACGATGAGTGAGTTGTGTTGTGTGTTATTTCTTTGTATCTCTCTTGTCTTATTTATAAGTTCAACTACATAGGAAAGAGACTGAGAGAGATAGAGATAAAGAGAGAGAGAGAGATAATCTAAACTTACGATTTCTTCAACATGCCATGGTTTCCTTAACATCATCTAGTCACATGTTTGAAAGGAAACACTTTGTAGATTTTGTGCTTTGACATAGTCTTGATTCCTTGTTTCCAGCAACTAACTTTCAAATGGCTATAATGGCTAACTTTTTTAGCCTTCCATTTAACATGTCATCATGCCACGTTAAGCCACATTAGCATGTCTGTTGACAGGGATAATAATAACAACAAATGTAGCCAAGGTCATTCTTTAAAAATTAGTCTATGATTTCAATCGACAGACCATAATCGAACTTGGCCATAATCAACAGGCCACAATCGGCAAAACTATAAAATATGGTGTCAACAATATCACCTTCATTTAAATGAATTGAAGAATGAAATCCAATTGAACAATTTATAAGGCGGTTTACCACAATTGACAAAAAATATTTTATGGTGCAAACAAATTGAATTCTTGAGGAGTTATATTACACTCATAGTAATTTTTAATTTATCATTGTTGATTGGCGAACACCCCATCTTTGGTTCTGTCGAATGACATAACAGACAGCCACATCCCTTATTTTTCAAATAAAACAATTATAACGCCCTAACTTTTATTACCCGAATCCATTACCAAATTCTTTATATTATTACCAGTTTCAATAATATCATACACATGCTAACACAAACAGTAAATAAACAATAACATTCTCTCTTGAAAGTGATGATGATATATACATAAAATCTAATACAATGCCGTTAGACTTATATTGAATCTAAATAAATAAAGGGATTTACCTTTATACAATACATGACACTCAGCTAACAAATAAAAGGCCCCATGGCCAAGAAAATAAAAGACTTCCCATTCTTCCAGCCAAGTACCTAAAAAGTTTGTTAACACGTGGATGAGCACAAAGCATAGTAGAAATCCCAAAGATCCTAAACAATCAAAATAGAAATCCCAAAGATCCTAAACAATCAAAACAGATAGATAGATAGATAGATATGATCATGCATGCTCCACATTGATATACATGTATAGTGTGACATTTTATACCCAAAGTATACATATGTAAATTCCATTTTTTCTTTTCAAAGATTCCATTTCCTTTTACGTACAAATACCTATTCTTATCTTTTAACTCAATAATTCAATATCTACATTCACAAAACACTTTTAACTACCTTTTCTAATCCAACTCAACAATAACCTCTACGCACACACGTAGACACTAAAGTCACATATAACAAACACAACTCGTAGTCACACCACTTCCAACACAAACTACACTACTCAGGTCTATTATCTAAATTAAACCATCATTCTACAATCACACAACACAAACACAGTTCGTGGTCATCGCTGAGTACCACATAATCCCATGACCATCGCCAAGCATCACCAAAACTTGTAGCCATCGCTAGCACTACCAAAACTACGTGGCCATTGCTGAGCGCCACTGTGACTATCGTTGAGCGTCACCAATCCCATGGTTAATATGAGTACCACATCACAACTAGTGCACTATTAGAAGATACACTGTACCAGTGGCCATTGCTAAGCACCACCTAACCAATGCCCATACCATACAACCATATATTTATCTTAATCGTTCAATCAAAACTCGTGTGTTCTTAATTACACGAGATGCACCCAAAGGCACCAACCATCATTTGCCACAAAATGTGCTCTATGCATCTTCGTTCAACAACGGGTTTTCACTCTCATCAACACATTTCAAAGTAATACCCTAAGAGTTATTACTATAACCAATACCATTACTCTCTAATTGTTACCTCTTACTCAACCATACTACGACAACACAAGTTATATCCCAACACATTCCAAATCCCCATCTCATTTACCAATTTCTTCTCCACAATGCCATACTCAATAATAAACAAACAGATAATATTAGCTACCGTCACACATCAACACACACCAGATAGATATAACTAGCTATCAATAACTAATAACACGTCATCCTACATTACACGATCCAAC